GGAAGCTGTCTTTCATCCATTCTAATTTTTAATTCCCTTATCGAAGAATAGATAGCTACAGGTCTGTGGGTTCATTTCTGGGTTTTCAGTTCTATTCCATTGGTCCTGAGGTCTGTTTTTTTTTCCAGGACCAAGCTGTTTTGATTACTATGGCTTTGTAGTAGAGTTTTAAATTGGTATTGATATTCTTCCAGCAGTGTTCTTTCTGTTAAGAATCATTTTTGCTATTCAGGGTATTTAATTGTTCCATATCAATGTTTGGATTGCTTCTGCTATTTCCTTGAAGAATGAGGTTGGAATATTGGTAGGTATTGCATTGAATTTGTAGATAGCCTTGGAAAGTATTGCCATTTTCACGATGTTGATCCTTTCAATCCAGGGGCATGGGAAGCTTTTTCTACTTTCTAAGTTCTGTTTTGATTTCCTTTTTCAGGTTTTTCAAGTTTTCATCATAGAGGTATGGAGGTTCCTCAAAAGACTCCACATAGAGCTCCCCTATGACACAACAGTCCCACTTTTGGGCATTTATCCAAATGATCACAAAAAAGACCATACTAAAGCTAACAGCACAACTATGCTTATTGCAGCATTATTTACCATAGCTAAGATACGGAACCAACCCAGATGCCCCTCAGTAGATGAATGGATCAAGAAAATGTGGTATATATACACAATGGAATTCTGTGCCTCCATCAGAAAGAATGACATTGCCCCATTTGTTAGGAAATGGAAAGACTTGGAAAAAATTATATTAAGTGAAGTAAGCCAGGCCCAAAGAAACATAGGTCCCATGGTTTCCCTTATTTGCAATAACTAGTATATGTCTAGGACAACCAGGAAAGGTCAAAAGCTATCTACATATGACCATATAAGATGATGTTAAATGAATTGAACCATACAATGGTTTTATCTTTCTGGCTCTTGTTTTTAATATATTTATAATGCACTATGTGATTTTTTTTGTTTCCTTTATATGTTCTTCCCCCATGGTATAAGCCCTGTTTTCATTGTATTTGATTCCAGTGCCCTGCATCTAATGTATTTGTCTTTTTACCCCATATATATATATATATATACATATACATATATATATATGTATATGTATATATATATATTATTGTAAAGATGCTGTACAGAGGGGGTTACAGTAACATGAGCTAGGTAATGAGCCCATTTCCTATCCAGCATTGTTATACCCTCCTTTGTTTTTCCCCTACCATCCCTTCCCTCCTCACCTCCCCAACTTCCCCTGCCCCTCATCCTTTCCCTCCCCTGCAAAGTTCTCAAGTTAGTTTTCAACATAGTGTCTTGTACATCTCATTATTACAAAGGGTCATCATGTATCCTTATTTCAACATTATGTTATTTCCTTTCCCTTCCCCAAATTAGAAAAGTGTACATAGAAGATGCAGGACACCGGAATCAAATACAGTGACAACAGGGGTTGTACCATGAGGGAGGAACATACAAAGAAACAAAAAAATCACATACTGCATTATAAGTGCACTAAAAAGAACAACAACAAAGATAAAACCTCTTGTGTCCCTATCTTGGGGTTCATTTCATTTAGTATCCGGTTTGTATGGTCATAAGTACATAGTTTTTGACCTCTTCTGCTTGTCCTAGACGTATACTAGTTATTGCAGATAAGGGAAACCATGGGACCTATGTTTCTTTGAGTTTGTCTTGCTTCACTTAATATAATTTTTTCCAAGTCTTTCCATTTCCTAACAAATGAAGTGGTGTCATTCTTTCTGATAGAGGCATAGAATTCCATTCATCTACTGAGGGGCATCTGGGTTGGTTCCACATCTTAGCTATGGTGAATAATGCTGCAGTAATGCCCAGCAATACTACTTTTAGGCATTTACCCAAAGGATCATAAACAAGGCCATACTAAATCTAGTCTATTTCTTTCCTTTTTTTGGGGGGGGGCGGTCAGTTGTGAGGTTTGACTCTGGATTTGAGCACTATCCCTCAGCTCTTCAGCTCAAGGAGAGAATTCTACCACTTGAGCCACAACACCACTTCCGGTTTTCTAGTAGTTTATTGGAAATATGAGTCTCACTGATTTTCCTGCCTTGGCTGGCTTTGAACGGTGATCCACAGATCTCAGCTTCCTGAGTAGCTAAGATTAAAAATCTAGTGTGTTTTTTAAACAAGTTATTTGCTCACTTTATTAGTGTGTACCAAAACCCACTTTTTGTTTCCTCACTTAATAATATTTATTGTCTTTCCTCTAGAATGAGTTCTGCCCCAATATCAGGAATAAACTTTCACATGTACCACTGACTACATAAGATTTGCAGGAAGTCCTAGGGAATTTTAAAAGGGAGTCTTTGAAAATACATAAAATGTAATATAAAATAATATTTGAATAAAATATATACAGAATAAAATAAATATTCTGGAATTGATTCTTAATCCATTTATTAAATGTTAACTGAGGGCTTGCTCTGAACCAGATATTTGGAACTGTGAGAGTCCTAGGCAATCATGAAGCGATAAAGCTCAGACTTTCTCCTCTTGTAGTCTACTCTTTCCTAGAGGAGACAGACAAGAAGCAAGGCTGGATCTGGATCATATAACAGGTGAGCAAGTCATGTTTTGTATTTGATAAGAGAGAACTCACAGCTTAGAGTTTTGTGCTGTATCTCAGTGAGACAGTGTTAGAGAAAAAAATCTTGTGGAATTAGTGCTCTTCGGGCATGTTGGGAAGAGATGAAGAGACAGAAGTATGTTCTTGGGTGAGTATTATTACAGACAAGGTCATTGTCCAATAAATTTACCTTTAGAACAAGTATATGAGGAAAATATGAAAATTAGACTGATGTACTGGTTAAAAATAAAGAAATCGTTACTCATTTTGTAAGAGAAGGGTGCAGTTATTACCTATGGGCCTTTAAGTAATCTTGCTGATGAGAACGTCCTGTGAAGGTTTTTTTTTTTGTTTTTGTTTTATTTCCAACAGAACAATAAGGCTTTGGGATAGGAGTGAAATCAGCTAATAATTCACAGAGGCCTAGATGGGAGTATATCAGTTATCAAACATCAATGTCTAGTTTTTTTTTCTCCTCATAAATTATTCAAAAAGTAAACCAAACAAGGTAAGGAATATAGCTAGCTAATTTACATAATGTTACCAAAGGTGCTGGGGTTTGTACAAATAAAATTAAGCAAAGACCTCAGGGATAATGACTTAAAGAGCTTAGAATAGAACATAACACACTTAGAGGCAAATGCAAAGAACCAAAGTGGGGGGGACCTAGGTGTGTTTGAAAGCCGGAAAAGGGAATAGAAGGGAAAATGTTACATCATCAAAACCCAAGTGCAAGGGTCGTGTGGGTTGTATAAAGGTTGCATGCTATTCTAAAAGTACTGGAAAGGGGGATGAGGCTCTAAATTTGGGTCATTTCTTTACTAGGTACAACCCCAAATATGGGTACCTCACAAATTGACATGTTGAAGTTAGAACTTTCATTATCTCAGAAAAAATCTATATTTGGCCATAGGATCTTTTTTTTAAAGAGGTAATTAAGTTAAAATGAGGTAATTTTTAATGATCCTTCATCCACTAATAGCTTTTGTTCTTATAAGAAAAGAAAATTAGGATATACAGAGGTAGAAAGGGAGATTACACGAAGACATAAGGAAAAGATGATCATCAACAAGCCAAGGGGTGGGGGGGCGACCTCAGAAGAAGCCAAGTTTAGGGATAGGGGCACGCCTCAAGTGGTAGTGCACAAGCCTAGCAAGCTCAGATAGAGGTAGGGGGAGAGGAGGAGGGGGAGGACGAGGAGGACAAGGGGGAGAAGGAGGATGGGGCGAAGGAGAAGGAAGAGAAACAACTAAGCCTCCTTAATCTTTTATCTCAGACTTCCAATTTACTGTCCTTTGAGAAACTGAATTTCTGTTTAAGTTACCTAGTCTGTGGCATTTTGTGACAGCATTCCTATTCAGTTAAAGTGCTCAGAATTCGTTCAGTGCTAGCTGGGTGTCGGTGGCTCATGCCTGTAATCCTAGCTACTCAGGAGGCTGAGAGCTGAGGATCTCGGTTCAAAGCCAGCCGGGGCAGGAAACTCCCTGAGACTCTTATCTCCAATAAAACACTAGAATACTGTAAGTGGCGCTGTGGCTCAAGCGGTAGAGCGCTCGCCTTGAGATGAAGAGCTGAGGGACAGCGCCCAGGCCAGAGTTCAAGCCCCACGACAGACCAAAAAAAAAAAAAGAATTTGTCAGTGCTCAGAACTATAAAATCAATGCTGAATGCTCATTGAGTCAATGCTTGAATTTGCTTAAAACATTAGAGATATTATAGGGAATGATGCCAAATAAAACTCTATGTGTAGGCTTCAACTCTATACTCACAAATGAGAAGATGACTATACCTTTTCAAACTTCAAAGCCATAGCACTAAACTTATCCTATAGGCCATTGAAATCAGATTTCGAAAGACCTAACTGTACTTACATTGCATCTTTCTTCCAGAAAGTTCAAAAAACTTCAAAGACATTTTTATATCAATTCTCACAGAGCCCTCTGAAGGCAGGTAGGTCAGAAATATTATCATTTTTATTTGGCATTTCTAAACACCTCTCACTGATTAGAAGATCATTTTAACTGAAAATTTATAATTTTTCCAGGGAAAAGAATACATGCTTATAGGAAAAGATGTCCTGAGATAAGTAATACCACTTTGGACTACAACCACACTGTCATGCATTAAACCTTTAGTAACAGATAAAATTTCCCTTGTGTTCTTACTTTAAATGTGAATCCTCATTCCTTGTATGTAATATTTCCATGGAAAAACAAATGTATAACTTACTATTAAAATGGCAACTAATTTGTTTTAAGATGATTGGTTTCTTTTTTCTCCTTATATTTAAAAGATAATTATCTTTTAATATATCTAAAAGATATATATTCTTAAATATATAATAAAGATATATAATATATCCAAGAGAAATGATGTTAACATTAGAAAGTCCAGTACTCATGTCTGTCTTCAGCAGTGCATACACAAAAACTGGAATGATATAGAGAAGTTTAGTACAGCTCCAGAGCAAGAAAGACATGCAAATTTTTTTGTGTGAAATGTTACATTTTTTTATAAAAACATTGGCTAGGGTAATATTTCATATGTCTACCAATCAACTAGGACAAGAAATCAAGCAGGTTTAGCTAATCAGAAAAGACAAGGGATACCATTTCATATTAGTAAAAGGAATTTCCATCATGAACACATAACAATCAGTAAGATTTATGCACCAAATATCTGGGCACCTAAACAACATTACTAGATTTACTAGATATAAAAAACACACGCAAACATAAAAACTAATCAAACAAAATGATAGTAGGACATTATAATATCCCATGCTCTTCACTCTGACAAAGCAAAACTTATGCTAAGTTCTTAAGAAAATCACTCAACTCTTTGAAGATTTGAAGTTGGATAAGCAAAGTAACCTTCAAGTGCATAATATTGTGATGACAGACTAGGTACTTAACACAGTTGCAAAATTACCCCAGAGCAATGTAAAACCCCTTGTTTAAAAATTTGTAAGACATTCAGTATAGTAATGGAATAATAAACCCAACCCTGTCTTGTTAGAACCTGTAGCTAGTTTTGAAGCACACTATGCAATAGAGGTTTCCATGGATTGTGGAGTTGTAGCATTTGTTCAGAAAGTAAGTACTCCATGGTGAGTTTTCTAGATCTAATAATAATTGACCTACAAGACTGAAAATTTCTTCAGAATGTACAATGGTAGAAGGGGATGCACAGTGTCATGAGAGCATGCCCTCTCTGAGAAAAGAACTTGATTCACCTCAAGAGAGTATTTCTTCCTGAAGCTGAAGGATGTCCATGGTCCTCAGAATTTTGTAAAAGCAATGTGTTCTTACATGCTTCCAAACTTCTTAAGCCTAGATTAAACTCTACTTTCTACTCTGATTCCACTTGGAGGATGAACTCCAGGAAGCTATGGACTGAATCTAATTCATCCAGCACTTATGATAGTAAGTTTGCAACTTTCTGTTGATTTACACAGTCAATCCTCACTGAGAAAAAAATTTCACCATGTGGTAAATGTTGCAGTGAAATATTCTAGAAGAAATATAGTCAAGTCTGGAAATATTTATATTATGAACTTTCATTTTGGAAATAGCTTAAAAGAACAATAAATCACAGCCCTTGCCACTTTTATTGGAGGAAGGTCAGTTTATTTCATATAAGCATGAGAATAAATGTATTTGGCACAGGACAGATAGCATCAAGTACTAAACTGATCCTAAGTACTGAAAGTTCTTGGAAGTTTCTACTCCTCATTTTCAAAGTTATTTTCTTATAAGAATAGAGCAGTCAGTAATTAAGACAAGATTATGAAAATATTCCATAAGTACACTGAAAGCTATTAAACTATGATGACAGATCACTGACCCAATTTAACATTTTTCATGTAATTTGGTTAACCAGAGAATTGCAAGTCACTTAGAACATCTGCAAAATGTTACATAGTTATTCTAAAGAATGTCCAAATTATTCTTCTCATGAATTGTACAGATAATTTAAATTATCCAAAGTTTTTTAGTTAAACTAGGTCAGACTTCAATAATATTATTAACATAGATTGTCACTTACTTACCTTCAACCAATCATCCCTGCATTGCCATCAATGCAAAAGACACACAGACTATTATATCTCATAAAATACGTGGAATTCGCATTAGCGAAAGGCTATATGTTCAGACCATAATTTGGAAATGAACCTCCAAAACATTTTGAAAAATGCCACTGAGATTCATATTTATAAATATTCAGATTTCCAGTTCCCTTTTGGGAGATTCAGATTCTATAGGGATCAGTGCAAAGGGTATGTTTTCTTTTTAAACTAATTTAAACTACTTCCTAAGACTTGAAAATTATGGAAAAAAATTGAGTCTGACATTTCAAAACCAATGAAGCTGATCACATGTTGAAAGTGGGGCTGGTGTACGTGCACAGCTTAATCTGCTTCTAATTTGTCAAAAAGAGTAAAGAAATATCCATCATAAAAAATCAACTTCTGAAAAACTGATGGTTCTTTTACTAGATAGTTTTTTTTTAATTTTACTAATATGTAAGGGGTTTTTTGCAATGTTGTGTTTTCTTACTCATTGTAAGTTATCCTTACCTCTGATCAATGATTAACTGTGTTCATACATTGCTGATGGTGTGTACATATACATGGAAAGTCTGCATCATTCATTCAAAATTGTTTCCCTTCCTAAGCAGATAGTTTTTTCAGAGCATGCAAACGTACGATACCTAGATGTATACCTTCTTAGCTTTGTGGGAAAATAAGTTAAATGGCTCAAACTATGCAGTTGTCATTGATATGTAAGCATAAATGACCTACATCTCCCTTAAACACATTTTCACAGCCATGCTTGTTTATGAAACATTCCCACTTATCCATATTACCAAGTAAAGAAGTGTCTGGTTCATTATGTGCATTATATAAATATAAGAAAACTTCTGACATATAATTATAATTATATCATCATATACTTTCTTGAAAATCCCAATGTCCTGGGCACCCACTTTGGACAAGACCCAGATGAGCCATACAGTAAGAATAATTAATCTCAATTTTTAGGCATCCATTATCAATGGAAATGGAGCCAGAATAAACCCCTAAACTAAAAGCCTCCTTCCAGTAATATCCTCCCAAGTGCCAGTTCAGGCACTAATCACAAAAACTTCATTAGGCAGATTCAGCCTCAGTCTAATATTTTATAGAAAAGGCTGTCAGAAATTAAGTGGTTTGTCATACAACAATTACTAGTGTATCTGGTATATATGACTCAAAAATCTCAGGTTTCCAGTATATTACTCAGCAACTATGCACTTCTTTCCTTTCTTTATGTGTCAGTCACTTGCTGGTGGTGATGTGTCTGAAGCACTACACTAAAATCAACGCATTTAACCCTCAAAGATTGGCAATCTGATCTCACAGCCCTCTCAGAATTTCAACATTCAGAAATATGCTATAAGCATCTTTTCAAACATTTTTTTAACTTCTATTATACCAGATCCTTTTTCAGTGAGTCTACTTCTTAGAAATATTAGTGCCATAAAATTAAGAGAGTCATTGCCATTTTTTTTGAGATACAGAACACCAGGTTTTAGCAAGTGGAGACGATTAGATTTGAAAGAGAAGAGATTCAAATGCAATAACGCTGCCAGAAGACATAGCTCATTCACTGATTTAGAATCAGTGAAATGTGTGACAGGAAAGACTATGTGTTGGCAATAGGGCTTGATGCATGTTCAAGAGCAAAATTGAAACCCTCCTCCCCTGGTTTGCAGCTATAGATCACTAAAAACATCTCAATTGCAAAAGGCTACAGGCCCTGACTTTCTCCATCCTCTCTCATGGTGGAGACATAGATTTCAAAACTAGATGTATCAAAGCTTTCACAAATCATTGTAGAAGCACATGCCTTAAACAATCTCATATTGAAAAAATACATTAATTATATTTCTAGATTTTTATCATGTAAATGTAGAGCTCGTGAAAGGAACCAGATGGACAATTTTTAGAGATAAACCTTTCCTTTGATTATAAGAAAATTAAAAAAAATGTTTCTCTATGCTTCCTATCTGAAAATCTTGCTCCTAAAACTTCTAGCAGAATGGAAATGGCTGGGGCTCATGAATGCCAAGTTTCCACTGTGTGTGTATACATGGGAAGAGGGAAAACTATTAGTGCCAACTGTTATCCTAAGTTTCCAAGTAAGATATTGATTGCCTTTTTTTTGACCTTTAAAAATAAAAGCACTTTAATTCACTAAATTATATACATCATGTAAATTTAAAACTTCATAAAAATTAACAGGATAAAAACTAAAATAACAGACATTTCAAATGTAATTTTCCACTTGAAATCTCTATCTTACTATACAGAATTTTTTTTTTAGGAATTTCCATTATTAAAACAGATTTGACCACTACAAGTATAGATTTGTTGTGTTGTTTTCCTTCTGAAGCATTTACCATATATCCATTCTATCTATGTCTGCCTTAGTGCAACATGTTGGTAAAATGCTAACAAAAATAACCCTAGTTAAATTCTGAGGGCAATGGTCTTTTATCCTAAAATGCAGACAATCTGATACTTAGGGAAAATACAAAATGCTGAGATACCAAACTAAAGACAGAAGTAATTCTGATCTGAGAGATAGAGAACATCAAAAGTGTAGATACAGATTAGCAGTTCACTCAGCTCATCTGGTGCAGATAATGGCTGATAATGGTGAGATTTGGAGCTGATTTTAACTTAGTGAAATGTATACCTTTGTTCATGTTTTGCTGGTACGAAGAAGTTACTGTCCGGGCATTCAAAACAAGCTCAGAAATAAATGCATTATAAATAACTTACAGTAAGGAAACCCACAAAGGGCTAACTGGACAGCCTTCCCACCATGCAGGATGTCTCTTAACAATGTATTAATATTTAACAGAATGTTCACATCCTGCAGTTCAACTTGGAATGAGGTGGTTTCTACTTCAGCTTCCCTTTTTAAAAAAACCATATCAGCTTTAGCACATAAAAAAAAAAAAAAAAAAACCAACAACAATTGTAAAATGAAACCAAAAACCAGGCTTAGATTAATGTCTTGGTTTATTGACTTTACAATAAAATGAATCTGCAAGCATTTTATATCTGATTTATTTATGGTGTTTGATGGAAGTCTGTTGATTTTCCTGGCTAATTGTCAAGGTTAGTTAAATTTAATGCTTTGTTCTCAGGTATTAACAAAATGCTTAATTAGCTATCTTGCAATATTATGTTATAGTTTTCTCCAGGGACTGGAAAATGATCATTTTCACGTGGCTATTTATATCTTGTAAGACTTAGATCCAGTAAGACTAAAAACTTTAGTTATCAAGTTATATCTATTAACTCAGAGTTCAATAAAATAAATTATATACTTTATATAATATAGTACTCACTAAGAATTTTACTTTTTATTTTTTATGTCAGTCATTGGGCTTGAACTCTAGGCCTAGGTGCTGTCCCTGAGCTCTTCAGCTCAAAGCAAGCATTCTACCACTTGAACCA